GCCTCCAAGTTTTTTTTTATTAATTAAGTTAATGCTTCAACAAGCTTCAAACATAAAATACTAAATTTGTTTCCTATTTACAGATTTATTGCACTGAATAAAATATTTTTCTTTCTTTCTTTCTTTCATTTATATTATCTTTTTAATATTATAAACGCGGAAGTTTGTGAGTATATCTTGACTTATTTCCAAAAAACAGCAATATTCATAATATTAATACTAGATTTAAAGACAAACTTGCTGTCCCCAAGTATCGTTTAGAAAAAGTCAATAAGTCTTTTATGGGAATAGGTATAAAAATTTACAATAAGATACCAAAGAATATATTGGAATTACCCTTAAATAAATTCAAAACATCTGTTAAATCATATTTACTGAGCAAGGCCTATTACTCACTAAACGATTACTTGAATGACGAGCGTGCATGGCAATAGTTTTCATGTTCGGGATTTTCATTTAATGTTAGACATAGACACCTATATAAATAAATACCTATGCATTGTAAATAAACTGGATTTAAAAAAAAAAAGTAATTCAATTGAGTATCTTGCCAGTTCATCTCAATTGGATCTATATACCGAACTGGACGGTAGGGAAAAAAATTATAATGTAAAAACTTGACGTTCATAAGCGGCTAAAATGTCCTACACGAATAAATGATTTTTGAATTTGAATTTGAATTTGAATATAGACGAATGTTTGTTACTCTTTCACGCAAAAACTAATAAACGGATTTTGATGAAGCTTAACAGCAATATACTTGTAGCTTATATATTAGAATAACATCATCATCATCATCATCGCAGCCCGGAAGACGTCCACTGCTTAGAATAACATATAGGCTACAAATTTAATTTAGATGAAACCGCGGGCACAGCTAGTACAAAATAAAATATTCAAATTAAAATAAGTTTTTGCTAAGGTGGACAAGCACCTTTACTAATATCACCCATCTGGATGATGATCTAAAAATAAACTTGTACTGGGATAAAAATGGGAAACGAAACGGGTTAAAATTCACTCTCACGATAACCAGGATAGCATGAGTGCGTAGAAGTTCTTATAAATTCCTATATGCAGCCTGATACTTTAGAAAAAATGCGTACGCGTATGAAAAAAGAAACAAACTGGCTGACTGGAAACATGGCTATAGCGAATAACAAATAAGAATTTGTACTATGTATATGTATAGTATATACATCTAATTACGTAGATAGATAAAAAAGGAAAAGGCAAACGGATAAAGCGCAGCGAACCCTGCTGTGTTTATATTCGTAATTAGGGAAATATATACGAGTGATTTTTAATTTGAACGTGATTTTTTCGGAAGATAATGAAGTTACTCAAGCGAGGTTTTATTAATTATTTCAGTAAGTCCTTTAAACCCAGTTTTAAAATATCCGAAAAAAATAAACGAGCAGAAACATCATGACGATGTAAGTACTAGGCAAGCATAAAAGTACAGAATAGGTGAATTGAATAATGGGAATGAACGTTGAAAAGAGTGGTCATTTCTGGTTTCCTAGAAACACGCAACAAGATTTTTTTCGAACTACTCTAATATATATCTCTAGCTGGCCTTTACAGCTTCACCGGACATTAGGGGGCGAGTGCAGATGGCACTCCAAACCCGCGGAAGGACTTATGGAGCGGCTGAAGGCCAACTCCCGCCTGACGGATACGACTTTAGTCTGAGGGCACCGCTAGTGGTTGGAACCTCGGCTCAAGCCGTTGTAATTTCGATCCCTGTTTAAATTGAACTGGGGATCGATCGGAGGGGCATCGTAACAAGGGTAAGGAAATTTAGTACCGTTGCGTTCTCATACGTATATTTATTAGTTGAATATTAATCTAAAACGGTACTTACATGAAATAACTCGTATGATGGTTAATAATACGACTTAATTATTGCAATGAATTTTAAATAAATATCATTGAGTAATCGTGTCTCTATCAATGAGAGTCATCAGTATGATTACCAGGAAACCATAAGCCATCCTTCCTAATTTTACATTACATACATACCTCTAAAGATCTAAAAAAAATTGAAAAGTCTTTGAGGTTATATACTCTATAATGTATATAATTATTTCTGTATTATATAAACCACAAGCAGACCAGGCCACGCGTTGCTGTGGTTAATAATAGAGAAATAATTTACAATGCAATAATGTTACGACTATAAATTGAGACGTAAGTTATCCTATCTTTCAAGTTGGATCAAATTGCACACAATGTGCAAATCAAATTTGCAATCGGTTCAGTAGTTTAGGAGTCCATTGCGTACAAACAACGTGACACGTGATTTTTATATATAAAGATTTGTATAAATACAAACATTGGTACAAATTGAAAACATTGAACGAAAATATAAGTTACTAGCTACTTGTCCTGGCTTCGCCCGGGTGTACATGTATTATATATATAAACATTTCTATTGAATCACTCTATCTATTAAAAAAACCGCTTCAAAATCCGTTGCGTAGTTTAAGCTTTAAGCATACATAGGAACGGACAGACAGCGACCGCAACTTTGTTTTATACTATGTAGTGATGAAGAAATTATTTCCAGTTGGATGATTTTCTTATTAGCTTAATATGTCAATGAAAATCTAATATTACCCAACTTTGTTGTCACATCGTGAATTTAATTAAAACAGGTGTTAATTATCGTTTAATTTAATTGAAGATGACGTATACTTAAATTTAATTTAGCCTGCTGTTGTTTTTAGAATATCTGCTATCTGCTATCTGCTAATATATTATCGTTTAAAAGCTATTTGAATAGAATAGAAAATCATTTATTCAAATAGTAAAGGAAAGGTATTAGGAAAGTTTACACTCTTTCCCGAGGAGATAAAACCATCGCTCCTAAGAATATCCTTCATCCTTATTCAGGCAGGAGTTGATCTTCAGACGCCCCATAAGTCCTTCCGCGGGTTTGGAGTGCTATCTGCACACGTCCGGTGAAGCTGTAAAGGCCAGCTGCGGCCAACAGCATTAGAGTAGTCCGAAAAAGAATATCCTTCAATTCTTGTCCCTGACGGGTCTAGGTAGCGAATTTTGAAAAGGGCGAGCACAAGAGATCTATGTAGGTCACAGTGCTACAGGTTCATGCATCTGACAATAGCAAAAAAAAAGATAAAACTCAGTGACTTATCCATATTAGATCATTGAACGCCTACATTCAAGAATATATATAAGTTTGACAGACAGTACATAATGAGTTCTGCACCTGACAATAGCCCATACAACCCAATAAAAAAAAGATAAAACTCAGTGACTTATCCATATTAGATCATTGAACGTCTACATTCAAGAATATATATCAATTTGACAGACAGTACATAATGAGTTCTGCACCTGAGAATAGCCCATACAACCCAATAAAAAAAAGATAAAACTCAGTGACTTATCCATATTAGATCATTGAACGCCTACATTCAAGAATATATATCAATTTGACAGACAGTACATAATGAGTTCTGCACCTGACAATAGCCCATACAACCCAATAAAAAAAAGATAAAACTCAGTGACTTATCCATATTAGATCATTGAACGCCTACATTCAAGAATATATATCAATTTGACAGACAGTACATAATGAGTTCTGCACCTGACAATAGCCCATACAACCCAATAAAAAAAAGATAAAACTCAGTGACTTATCCATATTAGATCATCGAACGCCTACATTTAAGATTATAAATCAATTTGTTAAATAATGAGTTTAGACTAGGCAGTACAACAGTCACAACCTACGAGTATCATATAGATTTTGACCTTTAACAAGCTAAAATTAAATAAATTAATAACACCCAGGCGCGTGGGTCAAATAATTACAAGCCTGATCTTAGGGTACTTACGTTTCCTGAATTGTTAATAAGTACTTATAGAGGAAGAAGACAAATAGTGGTCCCTGTGGGAACCGTTGAGGAACATGTTACGTTAGACTAGACAAGTTACGATATCAATGTACTTTTTTTTGTAATTGTTGCAATGATTGAGTTTTTTTTTAGTTTGTTTAATCTGTGTTTTAGTTTTTTTAACATCTACCGAATAAATATCATTTCATTTCATCAATAGAGTGTAAGTACGACTTTTGACTCTCTAATCTCTAGGAAGTAACTTTTTTTTTTATTTCTTGCCACTTTCTTAGGGTTACCCATTATCGTTGTATTATAAAGTTTATAATAATAAACCATATTTTATAATATGTACACATAAATAAAATATTAATTTTACTTTATTATTACTGTTTTAGTGTTTGTTTTTTATTTTATTTTCTTGTTTTTATTTGACTACACACCTAGCGACAAATTGTACAACTTTACCTCATAAAAACATTTTTTTTTGGGTTGATTTATTACATAGCACGGTAAGTCCTCGGAGAGAGCCTGGAGATCTGTAGTACAGGCTTCGACTTAGTTCGGACTCCAGATTCTAACAAGAAATAACTTGTAAGTTTAAGTATATATTTTTGTTTTTTTTGTTCAACATTGTAAGTTTCCTTGTGAGCAGTAAATAAAGATTATTATTATTACTATCATCGTCTCACTCTCTCAGCTTTTGCTGTTTTTTTCCACACTATTATTATTATTCTTATCTTTTCTCATTCTTTCTCTTCCTTTACAAATTTAAAAGAAGGTAATACTCACCTACACGGGCCTTAGCCAAGTGTGGGAGAGATTGTGCTGTTGTGATGTGATGATATTGTTGAGGAGGTCAAGAATTTTATATAATTTATTATTATTCTTCTTCTCTCTATCGTCTCACTCTCTCATCTTTTGCTAGTTTTTTCCACACTATTATTATTTAAAGATTTCATCTCTATTTAATGCATTGTTTTATTTTCTATACTTAACACAATAATGAATGCTGCTGTGAGCATCATCATTGTTGTGTAGTGATGTGATGTAATAAATGTTCTATTCTATTCTAAATGGTTAAGAGCGTCAAAACTCAAGTATTTTTAAGATACAATTTTAGATACATACCGGCTACAACTGTCTCTGCCCGCGGCAACCTCTGCAGCACGTGGTGTATGAGTCCCACGTCGGTACACGCCTGCAGGTTGCGGACGCTCTTGCGCAGGATCGCAATGAACACCGACCATATCTCTGCCTGCAACAAACAATACCACGGTAAATAACAGTAATGATATATCTGAACAATTCACAGACGGTCATCTAGTCTCATGCTAACCAGAGCTTGTGTTATGGGCACTGACATAAATACTTAGATGTTTTTTTAAACACGTATATAATATAGAGAGAAAACACCCAGACGATACAGACAATCATACTCTTGAATACAAATATTTACATCGTGCAAGGAATCAAAATCTGTGATTAAGCTGTAAAAATGTACACAAAAAGCATACATATAACACGGTAAATAATGATAACAATACTTCTGAAGAATCCACAGAACGTCATCTAGTCCCAAGCTAAGCAGAGCTTGTTATGGGTACTAGACAACTGATATAAATAGAGGTTCTTATTAATACATACATAATATACGTAGAAATAACTCAAGCTGATACAAACAATTAAATTTATGAATACAAATATTTGCAGCGTGCGAGGAATCGGACCCACGATCATTGGAAGTAAAGAGGTATGCTAAACCGATAGATCACAGAGGGTATGTCTGTACATATACGACGATATTGATGGTCTATACGACACGTTATTAGAATATTAAAAAAGCAGACAGCTTACCAGATGATAAGCGGGAACAGTCGTCTATATATATGAACAGTACTAGGGATATCACGTTATCATGTGACACTCATACATTGTACAGAGGACTAAGGTATCTTGTATCTTAGCATGTAATTGTACTGCATAATCGTACTTTAATATAGCAATATACAGACAGCTGAAAGACTCGAGATGGCTGAAATAAGTTAGATGATATTCTGACACTTTTTAAAATAGTTATTATTACATTTTCCGTTTCTCCCGCGGCTGACAAACTAAAGTTACAGTTGCAATTGAAGACAAGCTAGTTTGTCAACGTTGTCTGTCTGTCTGTTGCATGTCATAAATGACAAAATGTGTGAAACTAATTCTAAAGACCTTAAAAACCACATATGTTAAAGCAATAAATATTCATTTCATTTCATTTCGTACTATACAAAAATGAACTATTGATATTTTGCAACATTTACATCGAGGTATAGCGACAAAATATTTGAACAGAAAATGTAACTACGACCTAAATATGTACACAATGACAATAGTAACAAACGGAAAAAGCACAAATCCGCTAAAACAATGCGAGCGTATTAAAAGCATAATCCAGTGGAAGCGTTTGTTCAGGCGCACCGAGCAGAGAGCGCGCATCAAGGCAGAAATTTTCAATTTCAAAGCTCCGCGTTTAATAGAGCTTGCAGTGTACCGCAGCGGAGGCACGCGAAATATTTTTAATGAAATTCTTTCCTCTTTTGCACGGCACTGCAGCAGTCGTAATTTTAATTTTACAAAACAGCGTGCGCCCAGCTTAATTTGCACTAATTTATGCTAATGTAACAAATGTTGAGCTTGTACGGACGTGGGGTCGTCACGGCGATGAGGATTCGCTGGAACTGGGGCGCTGGACTGAGCGTTGCACCTTTGGCCTTAGTTTTGGACTTGAACCAATTATTATAGTTTGTAATAGTAAAACCAGTGTTAATGATACTGACAACTTGACAAGACAGCTGACGCAATGCGTTATGAGAAACCTAAATAGGGTCAGTATTCACAATTTTAATTCAAAATTTCTGCTTACCCTGGGACTAGATGGCGCTGTGTTAATTGTTCAGGATTATTTATTTATATTATTACATGTATTTAGACAACAACACAAAAAATTAAAAAAATATCTGTGTCTTTATATCGGTTGTCCAGTACCCACAGCACAAGCTCTGCTTAGCTTGGGATTAGATGGCGCAGTCTGAGTTGTCCTGAGATCTTATTACATATTTTTTTCAACAGGATCTACGACGATTAAGGCAATAATGATTTTGCTAAACTTGAATTTGATGTCAATGTTTTGGAAAAAATAATCAGCACATACATTAAAAGTATAACGAACATAATCTGGGATATTGATACATAATGACCAAAAAATAGAATTCAAATTCGCGTAACGAGCGCCGTTGTAATTACATTACATTCTTCTGCCGTTAACGGTACAATCTCAGTGAAATTACAGGTTCAGTGAATACCCACGATTCATCCACCGGCGCCGGCGTGAGGCGTTTCAAATGAAACATTTTATATCTACGCACGGGTACGTGCTTCTTTGTTTTTCTCAAAGAGGTGGTATCCATTTTGTTTTTAAGGGTGCTCATTTATCTACATTATATTCTCGACATACAAAAAAAATCTTCGTATATAAATCATATCTTAATCCTAATAATATCCTTGGTAATATTATAAATGTGAAAGTAGGTATGTTTGTTATGCTTTCAGGCAAAAACTACTGAACCGATCATCATGAAATTTTGTACACATGTCCTTGGAGGTATTAGAATGAAGACAGGATACTTTTGGTTAAAAAAAAAAATAATGGATTCAATGCGAGCGAAGCCGCGGGTAAAAGCTAATAATATTATAAATGCGAAAGTTTGTAAGTATATGTAGATGTATTACTCTTTACTATGTTACTCTTTCACGCCAAAACTACTGAACGGATTTTAATGAAACTTCACGGTAATATAGCTTATGAATCAGAATAACACATAGGCTATAATTTTTACTGAAATTTAATGCTCGCGAGGGATTCGCTCGCGTTGAATCCATTATATAAAAAAAAAATTGTTTTTTTAACAAAAATAATCTTATGCTCAATCGAATACCTCCAAAAACATATGTACAAAATGTCATGATGATCGGTTCAGTAGTTTTTGCGTGAAAGCGAGACAGACAGAGTTACTTTCGTATTTATAATATTAGTAAAGAAGTAGGGATAGTCACAAGTAACATGTTTTAAAGTAGTTATTTCCGTTGTTTATTTATTTATAATGAAAATAAACTAAATTTGTAAAATATAAAACCTAATGAGCAGTTTTTAATTAATTCCCTCGGGAACTGAAATTAAGCCAAGTAATTAATATTCTACGAGTAGAAACAAATCATGTATTCAGCTGCAAACTTTGAACTTTCGTATAAAAATATTTTAACACTGAAGAAAACTAGCTTGCATTAAACTCAGTTGGTAAAATAATTATTTTAATACGACCAGAAGCGCAGAAGTTTCAGAAGTTTTCTCATTAATCTACCCACGGCCGGACCGTAATAAAACGTGGAAAAAATATTAGCTCAGGCTTGGTGTTCCTTGATTTTTCCATGTTTGTACTTTATTGCGTTAATTATATAAATTTGCTACTAAATAAAGTTGAAATACTTTTATTAATTTTGTATTAATTAATCAAAATACTTTTATGATAACCGTCTTAATTTCTCGAACCATAAATTTGGGAAAATGAACTGTCTCGTCGTTTCAAACTTTGCAGTCACTTGCCGTAAGCGTGAAACTTTACACATTGCGCCTAACAAAGGGATGAGATATCTGCACGCCACGCTTCTTATCTGATGAAACTCCTAACATGCTTATTCAACGTGCCACGTGTCATGTTATCCTGGTAACAATGATACAATTTCCTTGGTGAACAATGCTCAAATTTGCGAAGGGGGTGGTTTTAGGATCTTTACTTAATATTTTAAGTAAGAGAGTATGGATGGATAGACGGATGAATGGATGTTTGTTACTCTTTCACGCAAAAACTACTAAACGATATTGTTGAATTAACTTTACACTAATATAGCTATCCATCAGAATAATATCTTATATATAAAATACTCGTGTCACAGTTTTCGTTCCCATACTCCTCCGAAACCGCTTGACCGATTCTCATGAAATTGTGAGCGTATTGAGTAGGTCTGAGAATCGGCCAACATCTATTTTTCATCCCCCTAAATGTTAGGGGTAGTCCACCCAAATTTTTTTTTTTTATTTTAAGGCAAAACAACGTTTGTTGGGACAGCTAGTAGACTATAAATATCATGCGGACAAAACCGCGTACAGTTAATTAAACTTATTTTATTCAGTATCTTTTTAAATGTGTTTCTTATAAAATCTTCTAGATGTATGCTACAAAAAATCGTTTATAATGACGAGGCTAATAGAAGCGCTCTCGAGTAAAAAGCTCATTGCCAAACCGTCCCTTGACAGCACCCCATCGAGCTCTAAAACGTCCCTAAAGAAAATCGTCTCATAAGATGACTCGACGAATCCGAGTTATATGGCGTGGCGTGTCGTTCATCACTTCGCAGGCCTAGAGCCAACATGCCGCTTCACCTCTGCACGTTTGTGTGATCCTAGTACATTACTGATCGAAGTTGCGTCACAGGTCTGTTTGTTTGTTTGAAATTGTCGCTTCTTTTTCTTCTTTTATCCATCCATACATACATACATAATAAGTATGTAAGTATGGATGGATAAAAAAATAAACAAACTATTGTATTGTATGGAATGGATGACACTTTTTACTTAAAATATTGATTTAATTTATTTTTAAATAAACATTTTAATGTTAATATGATTATATATTTTTACGATGAACGCAAATATCTTTTTACATTATATAAAAATTACTATGCAAATAAATAACAGTCAGGGTAAATTGCACATTCTTCTTGCTATGTCATTTCTGATTGTGTGGTAGATTAACAATATGACAATTATATTAAATTAATTTAAATAAAGATTATTTCTATTTCTATTTTAACCGCTTAACCTTAACCGTCTGCATTTAATTTATAATTTCACGACTATGAATAGTATATATTTGAAAAAAAAAACTGCATTATTGTTTTGAACACAACAAAACATACAGTAATAATATTATTGGTAATTTTGAAATTCCAGGCACTTGGTTAAATATAATTATAATCCATATATATAAATAAAATTGGAATATCTATTTCTAATATTGAAATAACCGTTTTTTTACTACATTCATATGAATATAAATACGGTACATATACCAAAATAACATTTTTTACAATTTTTGTCTGTCTGTCTTCCTGTCTGTTTGTTCATTAGGCGGAGCCTAATCTCTGAAATGGCTG